TGTGCTGAGGGGGAGCAGTGGGAGGGTGTCCCTGTGGGTCCAGCTGGAGACTGAGGTGCCTGTGCTGAGGGGGAGCAGTGGGAGGGTGTCCCTGTGGGTCCAGCTGGAGACTGAGGACCATGTGCTGAGTGGGGGCAGTGGGAGGGTGTCCCTGTGGGTGCAGCAACTGCACACTGGAGGCCGCCCACACTACTGGGTGAGAGTTCTCTGCATTGTCCCTCTTTTCACACTAGTTTTTTTCCCTCCCCACTCCTGTCTATTTACCGTTGCTCTCTTTCATTATAATTGTTCTTTAATAATTCAACCAATCCTTTCTCCTTGTTGCTTCTAGTAGTATCATCTAACAGAATATACAAAATCCCAAACCTCACTTCATTGAGTGCTGATGCAGGTGCATTAAGATTCTGATTTATAAATGAATACCTGATTTTACTCATGCCTTTGTCTTAACCCTCTCCTCTGTCTGCAACTGTTTCTTGCCATACTGGGACATTAAACCAGTTCTAAGGAAAATTCAGAAGTCTGACAGTTGACAGAACTCTGTAACTATCTCACCAACTTATGAACAGATCCGTGTATCTTTGAAATGTATTTTGCTTTAAAATCTAAGAAACAATGGTGGCAAATATGCCTTTTTTTTTTAAGAATAGGAGGCCCACCATCCACTAAAGACTGTGATTTATTCCCAGTACCCTGCTTTTCAAACAATGCCATCACGAGGGGATGCTCTGGAGCAGAACTGAGGCAGGGGACATGTACATGTTCCACTTTAGCAGGCAAGGCCAGATGCTTCCCAAGGCTGTGCTCTTTACCCCTCAGCGGACATGTCTCTACAGCTCATTCTCAGCATCTTGTTTTGTACATTTCTAGTCGTTTGGTATGTGTGAAATTGCATCCCTGCTGTGCATAAAAGCAGATGGATTTTTTTTCGTGGTGCCTAAATATACCAAGCTTTACCTAGAAGCATCACCTGACAAGGGTGTGACCGATTATGTCTCCTTAGGCATAAGTCATGCTCTCAGTCCCCAGCCCCAGTGTTTGCCTGTCTGCTGGTGTCTGCACATTAAAGTTGAGGCTTCACAAGAGGACAGTAGGTTTCGGAGTGTTTCCTTCCCTTCCCCTGACTTACACAAATGTTTCTTCAGTTAAATGAAAGACAAAATACCAAGTGATAGCATTCCTCTCCATTTCATTATGGAAATAATTGGAGTGCCTCAAAAATGACCCATGGTCCTATATTTATTAGAAAAACATTTTTAAGATGCACAGAATGTTGGCTTGGCGCCTATAGCTCAACCGGCTAAGGCGCCAGCCACGTACACCTAAGGTGGTGGGTTTGAATC